AGGATGGAAGTTAAACTGTGAAATGCTTATTCCAAACAGTATTGAAAATACAGACAAATGCTATTTAAACGCAATCATCTTAAATAAATATGAAAAACTCATTCCAAGTTTCTTTTCGCAAAACAATCTTGTCAAAGCTGTCGAGTTTCGATATTATTAGAACGTTTCCATAATACGCATTTAGCTTGTTATTTTGCTAAGACAGCTAAGAAATACCCAATGGCGTAAACACACATAACAATATATGAATCACCAAGCCGGATATACTTGAAGACTAATATTTTTTCCTAGAGGACGATACAATAGTGTGACGTGACTATGATACAGAGAAATCATTGTTATCAAAATAGCAAGCGCTTGTAACACAAGGTAGTTTCCTACATGAGCGACAAGATAGAGTAGAATGTAGTAGTAGTGTAGCAGAACTTTAATCAGGCCAATTTGTTGAATTCCTGTTGTTTTGGAGTGATTATTTTTGGGTACTCCCGAAGTATGTGTACCAGATTAGGGTTAGCCTAGGCTTACCATACGTCCCGGTTTAGCCGGGACAGTCCCGGTTTTGACGAGCTGTCCCGGCGTCCCGGCCGGTTGACTCAAATGTCCCGGTTTGTCAGCACGACTGTCGTGGGTAAAAAATTCATATTCATTATTATTACAATTTTTTTAACGGTGGCAGCCCATTACCACTGTTTTGCGACACACTTCGCTAGTTCAGAGAGAGAGAAATTGCTCTATTGTTATGTCACAATCGGTATATGTTTTACTATCACACTGCTATTCATGGCCAAAGTATTGACTGCACCTCTAAATTAATTTTAATTTTTCTTTAGCCTAAATTTGCGTAACTTGTAAATACACAGTTAGAATTTCTGATGTCCGCTGTCCTGATAAGCGGATTCGCTGATTTTGCACGTTTAGCCAGAAATAAATGAGAGTCGGTGATTTTTAATTGCATTGCTCCGCTGTTCTCCTCTGAACCTAATGATGATTTACTTTAAACCAGTTTCGTATCAGTAACCTTCGATGCATCAAACAGAAAAAATTTAAAGCTTGTTTCAGTTATGGTTCGTTATTTTTACCTGATGTTGGTGTGAAGATAAAACTATTAGAATTCAAATCTTTACCCAGGGAAACCGCCAAAACTTTTACTGAATACTTGCTCCCTGTTCTCGGAAAAGTTGTTGGATTCTGTGCGGATAACTGCAACACCAACTTTGGAGGCGTAAAAAGACGAAAAACAAATAATGCTTTTTGTTAAAACTAAAAGAATCATAACCGGTATAGATTGTGCGGCTCATGTAGTTCAACACTGCACTGCGATGCCCTTTCCAACATGCCGTAGATACTTTGCCTGTTTGTGTTGTTGTCAGAATGTATGATTATTTTTACATTCACACTGTCCGAGTAACAGAGCAGAAACCATTCTGCGATTTTGTTGATATTGAATATCAACGGTTATTACAGCATGGCAACACTCGGTTTCTCCCTTTATTACCTGCTTTGCAAAGGATTACGGAAATGTTTGAAAGCTTGATAAGTTATTCAAATTCTCAAGAAGGATGTCCTACTCTTATGCTTAAATATTCCAACGTACAAACTTCACTTGAAATTTGTCCTTTGCCAGCTCACCTACTTCAGCAAAATTATTTTAATTTCGGAAAAAGATAATAGTAATGCCGTAGATCAGGGGTCGGCAACCTACGGCCCCCCGGGCCGGATCCGGCCCCGCAGAGTATTATAATCCGGCTCGGACGCTTCACTGAATTATAGTAACAAAACAGCCGTTTTGACGATTATATTTTGTTTAACTAAATTATATTAATAACCTTACCAAGTATATAATTCACAATTACTCGTTTAATGTGCCTAATAATTAATTATAATTAGAACAAATGGCAACAAAACGCAAAAAAGTGATGTTAAGTGCAAATGGTTCAATGGCGCTGAAAATATTCAAATGGAATTTTTTGAGATGCAATGAAGAAATAAATCTATATTCTATTCGAGAGATGTATTACTGCTTGATTTTTAATATAAAAAGTATCATCCGTTCGGTTTCAGCTTTCTGAAAATATGTGCGACCCGCCAATGACTCGCAACCCTCAATTTTGGCCCGCGATCGACAAAAGGTTGCCGATCCCTGCCGTAGATGTCAGAAGTGAAGCTAAATTTGAAGGAAAAAGGGTAAAGTCTGTTAATTCCGTCGCAATCACTTGTACTTCTGAAATCCTTGGAACGCTCTGACGAAATCGACGTAACTCTATTTAAAAAGAATGTTTGCGCTTTTTACGAGAAATGTCTATCGCAGCTGCATGATGAAGCCTACAATGCTGTCAGGCCAAACATATATACCAATTTGAAGGGTGAAATAAACTGGACTGAAGTGTTTGGTCTTCAAAATTGATAAATGATATATATGTTTGGTTGGCTAGTCAGATTATGCACTTTTCGACAAATACCGATGAAGAGATATTTATCTGAGCATGGTTCAAATGCAAGTTGGCTTACTTTGCCGGTTGAAATTAAGTGGACAGAGATGTTTAACGTTTTTTCTAACAGAAATATTAGCATTTCGAATTTGCCGAAACTCGTAGATTTTGTTTGCCGGAACATCGGCATCTGTTGAACGGATTTTCTCCATTGTTAAAAATTTTTGATCCGAAAGCAGGTTCAGAATGCCAGAAGAATATATAAAAGCACTCGTGACCTGCAAATTTAATGGTGATGTCTCTTGTTATCAGTTTTATGAAAAAATCAGAACATGAATTTTTGAGAAGTGTTCCATCTGCGGACAATACTTTTGGTCTAAATAAATAATACAAACTATTTTTTTGTGTTTTTCCTAATTCAATGATCAGTAGAGATTTACAGCCGTATATACCCTTAATGACATGGTAGACTTTTCAATATTACAAAACTTGCAATCGACCGAATGTTTGCCAAATCGCACCGTCCCGGTTTTTTGTTTCAGATTTATGGTAAGCCTAGGGTTAGGCCATAATTTTTTTCCAATTTTTCTTATTTCTGTTCTATTACGAGTTCGATGATTAGCCAGAAATTATGGCCTAACCTGGTACACATGCTAAGTTCCGGTGTCCGCCGTCTTGGTTCACATACTTCCGGAGTACCTATTTTTGTACTAGAAATTGCTTATGTCTGCAGCGAAGCACTGATCGATCTCAAACTTTCAGTTCTGGAAAGTGTAAACTTTAAAACGGCCCGATATTTTCCAAAATTCTAATTCTATAATTGATTATCCCATATTGCTCTACTGCATTGGTATCGCTTGTCCGAAGACCTTTTGAGTAAATTAGGTGTATTGTAAGGCAGGGGTGCACAACTCAAATGGGGATGCGTGCCAAATTATACGAAATAATCTTGTCACGTGCCACGCACAATCGTTGGTATTGTAAACGAACTTCCGTAAAACACACATCAAACAAATTTAAATAATAATACATAATAACGAATATCTATTTATTGAAACGATTTAATGTCCTGAATGACTGCTGATTTGAAGACGTGTGTGACGAGTCATACGGTAGTCGCTTTGGTATGAATGAATATTCCGATTTAGATTATTACGACATAAACAGACCTTATTGCCATCAACGATAAGTGGAAAATCACGTTTCACCTACAGCAACTACCTTCGGAAAACAGGGCCACGAGCTAGCAATTTGTGGATAAACATGACACCATTTGGCATGCGTTCCCCGTGTTGTGCACCCCTGTTGTTAGGCCTTACCATGCCGGTACCGATGCGCGATCTTTGTGTCCATATATTTTAGCATTGATCTGTTATTTGTTTGTTTTTTCCATCTATAGTTAGATTATATCTGCGGCTAAGTATCAGTACAAATCCGCGTTAGCGCTAATAGCTCTTTAGCAGTTATCAGAATGCAAAAATGAAACGAATCATTCACCTGATATTGATGTTATTTGGTAAGTTTGGTTGAAATTTTGAAGTCGACTTTGTTTCTGAATTAACATTAACAAACAGCTCGAAGAAAATCACTGGAATTGCCTTCACCTTTCGCATCACATTATTTAGTACTTCCTTTTTGTGTCATTCGACACTTACTCGAAATCCGCCCCTAATAGAACGAATTTGCCTAGTTCTGGTTATGATACTAAATAGGTATTTCTTGTTTTCAGCATTTATTGCCACTCAGGTGGAACGGAGTCTTGGTTTATGAAGAGTTGCGTAATTCATCGGGTGAAATTACATATGATAGCGTAAGCGTTTTCTCTAAGATTTGGAAGTTTTCTGCCGAATATAAGGACAACCACACCCTCTTTATATCTGTCGAAGATGTGTCGATGTATGGACACATATCTGAGAAAAACAGTTTCGGCTGCAGAGGATGGTTGTATTTGCCTGGTACGCTTTATATTGTAACTATTTTTTGACCGCGATTGCCTTGTCTATTCCAAGTCACTGAATGCGTTGTACCGTGGGTCATAGGCGCACACATCCAAAAAATCGACGTTTCGTTGCTTTGCTATCAATCCTTCCTCCAAACGAACCAATCGAGATAAATTACATTGAATAAGTTTGTTAAAAATATCGTTGAATATCAGTGGCCATTTATACCTATACTTGTTCAGAGCGATAATTACACAGTTTCACTGATAAAGGTAATTTGTAGGGAACCAAAGCATGTCACTGAGCAACGACACCATGGTTATAATATTTAATTTAAAATATCGAAGATTCAAGTTTCGTACTACTGTTGTTGTCGGCCAGTGGAGATTTTGGCGAATTACCTAACCAACGTCACTTTCGAGAAGTTACGGATTATATTATTAAAGCGCTATTTTTAAAAACAGATGAAAAATGAATTTTAATAAAAACCCTTGATTTTCAGAAAAGTATGGAATATGCCAAAAGCCACTAATAAAATGTCTGTTCTATCAACCTGTTGGATGTATCTTGCCAAATACAGCCACTTTAATGAGTGCGGGTGTAGACGGCGTGGTCTGTGACAAGTATATGTGGTTTCGTCTGTCAAAAATGCCGGAGCAATTGAAGATATTTGGCCAGTATTTCGGTAGAAAATTCGTTCAAGTACAGTACAAGTATCTGGAATGCTTGAGGAATGAAAAGGAATACTCAACAACGGTAACCGGTAAGTAAACCAGCTTTTGAGACCTGAATGGTAATCAGCGGCGTGTCTAGAGTGTGGCAGCAATGGCTCGTGCCATGGGCGCTGTTTGGACAGGGGCGCAAAATTGGCGAAAAGTTGTAATTGTAAAATGTTTCAATAAATTAATTTCAAATTGGAAATAATTGAAACTGATTGATTAAAATTATTTGGTATTTTTCTTAAATAATAAAGTAAACGCATCTCAAAGTTTTTTCACGTATCAATTCTAACCCCCACCTGACTACACCATCCAAAAATTACGTCATTACGACGTCACAGTGACGTAATAGAGCCCTTCAAACTATACGAACTGCCATCTAAGACGCGCAAACGAGCACCCGAAATCGAACAGTTATTTCTCTCGTTTTCTCGTCGCAATGATTCCAATAGGAGAGAGATCGATAACGTCAGTCAGTTCTTTATCGTCGGCGTCGATGCCATTTCGGTCGATCGTGCGTATATTTGGCAAGCGCTATGACGTGATTGTGATGTCGTAGTGATTTAATTTTTGGATGCCGTAGTCAGATGGGGGTTAGGATTGACATATCAAAAAATTGTTATGCTACACCCACTATCTCAATTCAACGACAGTCGTTAAAACTTGTCGGTCAACAATCAAAGGGGGCGCATATTACGTAGATACGCCACTGATGGTAATATGAGAAAAAATAATTCTTTTCAACATAGAGCATAGGTTACCATATCCATATAAGTCCATACATCGTTGTAAACGACATGCTATTTATTCTGGGTCGCACACGAGTTGCAAATGCTTCCGGATTCTGAAAATCAAGCACATTTCTCTTTGCTGTTTCCTGTACGACGTTGAGATTAACCTAATATATGGTGTTACCGCAAAATACACAAAGCCCAGGCCATTTGGAACATATTCTAGAGATAACTTAGCTTTTGTGCAAAGCGTCCTAAATAGATAGTTTATTTTGAGAACTCCATAATTCACAAAATTTAAAAATAGAGAATTTGGGAGTGCGCGCAAACCTTTAAAAAAGTTTAAAACATGATAAATATCATGTGCCCGCTCACCACCACACACACAACAAGAAAACTAGTTAAACGAGGTTTGGGCCAAAAATGAAAATAAATTAAAATACGCGAATGTATTGAACTTTTAGACTGTTGTACTTTCAAAACGCTAAAGCTAACAATTCAATCTGATACAATATATGCCTTCATTTATATGTCTCGGAAGGATGGAAATATAAAATTTAATTTTCAAACGTCATGAAACTTAGTACACCAATATACAGATATATGTTGTTAACTAAAGTAATTTTCATTTTGCCCCATCTCTCTGTGTTATTGCGATTAACCAAAGATATTTAGCATCAAATGTAAACCATGATTTTTTTATTTTCGTAGAAGTCATTACGAAATGTATGCCGAATTTGCATTCTGAATTACAGACTCATCTACCGATCAGACTTCTTCTGTGACGGCATATGACGCAACAAGCAACAATTTACCGCAGATTCATGTCGGAACCGAACTGATTGTCGGCCTTGCAATCGCCATCGGATTACTTGTCATATCGTGGGTGGTGCTCGGAGTCGTTATTATACGAAACCGGTGAGTGTAAATACCAGAGAGAGATTTATTATTTGGTCAATCAGAAAAACAAGCATTGCAACAGCAATAAAAATATACAACAATAAAATTATTCGGTATAGACCGGGAGGAGCGATACGACCATACATACGGTCATCAGAGTCAGCTGTTTGAGGATTTGTTTTTTGATTGAGTAAATAGTTGATTTATAAAGGACACTATGATTTAACAAGCCACTGTCTACAGATGCAAAAAATTTTCACATTTTAACAGGATGTACTACTGAGTTGGTAGTATTCCACAAGTATAATGATGGAATACAAGACCAGGAGGAAAATATTCAATGATGTCTAGGACCACAGTAGGCCCGAACGAGTTGTATAATATATACAGGAAGTACTTAAGACATGTACGCTCAAAAGAAGAGTATAAGCTGCAATATACTATACAAAATATATATATTAATATAATTTGAATGACAGAAGTACAATGTTAGGTGACACCACTCACAGTGTTCCCTCTAAGGTGTGCGCAGAGGCTGCGCACACGCATAGATTTACTGCCCACGGACGTATTTCGATGTAATGTAACAATGTGCTTGGTTGGCAGGTTGAGAAAGTTTGTTGTTGGCCCACTTATTACCCGGTTAGAACGCCAAAATTTCTTCATTGGTTTTTGCACAAATATGAGTCATTTCCAAAAATGTGCGCACACACCAAAATTTCTGCGCACACATACTACAAAAAATTGGAGGGAACATTGAGCACTAATTATATACACTTGGAATAATACAAAGTCTAAATGATCTACATTCTACACTATACAAAATTTATTTCATATTCTAGAATCTGAATAGTTCAGTCCCTTATCAATTTTTATAATCCATATTGCCCACATATAGGGTCCCAGTTTCGTATGGACTCAACGTAGGAAGAGAATGTGGCATTTTTTATCAGAATATACAATAATCATGATTTGAGACGTATAGATGCAAGTTTGAACACAGAAAATTGGATGCAGCAATTTATATCAACATATACAATAATAATGATATGAGATATAAATCCTTTAGATTGGATGAATAATATAAATGCAAATTTGGTTTAGGGTTAGGCCATAATTTCAGATACAAATACTACGGGAGTCACTTGGCAAGTTGGACCCGAACTTGTAATAGAACTAAAATTAGGAAAATTGGAATAAAATTATGGCCTATTCTAACCTGGTACACATACTACGTTCCGGTGTCCGCTATCTTGGTTCACATACTTCGGGAGTACCGATTCTGGTGTAGACCTATTTCTTGAAAAATTTTATATTTAACCTCAGGTCAAAGGCCACCTCACGCACCCCGGATGTCAAAGTAACTGATGCGGAAGAATCAAATACTCGTGAAATCGTGGTCAATGCAATATATGGAGAAAATTTCGACAGAATGGTAGACGATTCGCAACAGACTAGCTCGAGTGCTGTGTATAGCATGGTTCATAAATAACTAGCTCACAATTCTCATACCAGAAGTGGACTGGTAACCAGATCAGATGACGTGTTTCGCCACATGATTAAACCGTTTTATCGCCTTTACTCTCATAGAGATGATTAATAATTGCCTATCCTTCACATCCTAATCTTAAACAACTCAAACGCTTGCTGCTTTGTGTTATTGTATTTCGATGCGCATATATGCTCAATTTGCCAAAAACCACATTCGCCGACAACAACAGTAGCAAGAAACTTGAATTTTCTATCTTTTAAATTATATATTTAAACCTTGACGTCGTTGATCTGTAACCAGCTTTGGTTGCCGTCGAGTTTCTTTCCCCGGTCCAATTATCGCTGAACTAGGCCAGGTATAAACAAACATCCACTATTATACAACGATATCTTAAGCCAGTGGTTCTCAAACTTTTTTTGCTCACGGCGCTCAAAGCAAATAAAAAAAAATTTGCGCCACACTTGTAAAAAATAAAGTTGGCTTTAAACGAATTATTCTGCAAATGTTAATGCGATGTGTGTGTCTGTTTTGAGAAACAATTGAAAAAAGGTTCCGTCGCTCCCTTTTTTGCTTTTAATTTCAGCCATAGCAGATAATCCGTTTTTACAGAGTCATGAAGATGCAAATGAATATATTATTTTGCACCGATGATTGGATAAAACTTATAAGGCGGTAAGACTCGTCCAAAACTGTTTCCCTGTTAATCTAACTGAGCACGCAAGTCAATATACTAATACTGTATACTCAAGTCTCACAAGCTTACCTGTTGCATGCATAACTTATTTTCTAAAATTCCAAAAAATCTCCGCGGCACACTGTTTGAGAAACGCTGTCTTAGGCCGTCGGCCTTCCCTTGAATAAACATAAAATTCCTATCCTTTTCCTAATATATACCGCATGCTACTCTATTGGTATTGGGAGGTATTACAGTGCACATAACCATACTGGCCGTGTTTGTATTATCTGTGTGATGAACTGATTAGCAAAGCGCCTTTATATGTAGATACATACAGGAGGCCAAAAAGTTTCGCCCGATTTTATGATAATAACAAATGTAAATTAAAATAAATTTATTGTATGATAATAGATAGGCACAACATCCAACATCTATAACATCAAATTCAATACAGGCTGACTGTAAATCTTTTTACAATTAAAAAATAAATTATCATTCGATTTTAAAGACTTTATGACCGGGCGAAACTTTTTGGACACGCATAATTCTAAATAAGTGTATACTATGCAATATTATTGGGCACGACGTGGATTCATGGATTGTTTCATTTTATTTTTTTGTTGTTGTCGTTATCTTAGTATTTTCTTCTTCTTGTTGTGAAAGAATCACTTTTCTCATTCATTTCTGGACCAATTGCTTTGAAATCTCCAATAGTTTAAGATGCACGGAGTCTATCTTTACATTAACGACAGTCTCAGGATTTCCCAAAACTCCTCTGGATACTTGAATGTTTCCCATATACGAATTTATTAGTGTGAATATTTTGTTTCTATATCCATATTCAATTATAAGCTTTCTATTTTATCTTATTTTTTCATGCTGTGTTAGACCCCATCCAGGGTGTCGCTGTTCAATAACCAGTACTGGTTTTTCTGACGTCTCCCTCCACCCTCAAATGCTATTTATTCTTCTTTTATTCTACTTCGTAAATGTACCTTACGTATTTTCAGCATTGGTGAAATTACTGCATTGTTCGCTAGAGGGCTATTACTTTTGTTTATTGCGAAACTCCCTATGACCTGTAAGTGATTTTGTGTGATGACCTCTTTAATATTAATAAACATTATTTGTAGCGGTTCTGCAAACTCATCCGCGCTACGCGAAGTTTTTTGACCGTACCTTATACTAGTTAAGGTACACCACTGCTTCGCTTTGGACTTCGTGTCCACATATTTAAGCATTGCTCTCTTGTAATTATTAATATGGTGTGGCATAATTTTATTTTGTTTGATCATTTACTAAGCATCATATCTTATGTTTCTCTTTTCTAATTTTATTTTGTCTGCGTGAATGTGTCAACGGACACGTTCCGTGTTTCCCCCGAAAATAAGACCTAGCCTGAATTTTGAAAATGATTTCAATATAAGCCCTCCCCTTAAAATAAGATCTAGTAGACAGCGCAAATATTCTTTTTGTCTCCTACACGTTTTAAATGATTAATCTAAAAAGTGTGAGAGAGGGAACAGTTCAATAGCCTGAGGTAACGTGAATGTCACGCCGCAATTCATATTTTGTATGTTTGAAAATCTTGTAATTCTCTACTTCGCAATTTTATTTTTGATAAAAAAAATGAAAGGCATCCCTGTCTTATATTCGGGGAAACACTGTACCACTTCTTTTGACAACGACAATAAATCTAAAAGCTGTACATTTTTTGTTTGAATCAGTTTTATTCATTTTGTTCTTATGAATTATTTTTATCGTCTTTTATGCTGATTATGGAGTCAATAAAATAAGTCATTGCAACTGAATATAGTCATACCTTGAACTGCTATACGCCACCTAGTGATCGGAAAAGCGGAGGAACATAATTCTGAGTTCATGCATTTGTAAACAAAAAACTGGCCAACTAATACCATACACGATATGGACTGGTAACCGGGCGATTGGCCATGGTAAGCCATATGATTGAGTCGTCTTGTCGGCTTTCCTCCCCCCGGGATAAATGCTTAAATCCTATTCTAGAAGTATAGGATTACTTATCAGCCCGAAGAATTAAATATTCGTGTTGATGTTATTGCCCTTGTCTTCCACCCAACTAATGAATTCTTGAAATCACTCTCAAGTTTCGATGAGCACATCACTTTCTGCAACGCTCGCAGCGCATTGTCTTTTGAGATTTTTTCAGTTTGGCTGAAAAGCCGTGCATTTCACATTGTTGCGTCACAATCACAACAACGCTAGATCAGTGAAAATTAACGCTGAGTTTCAATTGGCATTCATTTTCATCTGGTAGTTACTTAGTTTTCCTTTGTTAAAGGATATTGAAAAAAAAAAACTCGACTGCCATCCAAGTACCCCTGGAAATCTTCTCATGCACCCCTGGGGGTTCGCGAACCCCAGGTTGAGATCTCCATCAAGTAACACCTCATATATAGTTAGAGGGCTCCAGCAAAACTCTCAAAGTTACCTGTAATTATCTCTGGCCGGAATAGTGCTTCTAAAACTAAACACACATATTGCTTCAGATATAATGTTGAGTATTGGGAATAAACGAGAGGAATATGAAAAAACATGATTATCAATGATTTACAAAGAAAAATTTGATTCAGCAAGAACTAGCATGAGAGACATTGAAAAATAGTAAAGGTATATAGCACCAATGAAAATGTTGGCATTTGGATATATATATCAGGAATATTGAGATCAAGTATATTTTGAGCACACTCCACTGCAGTGCAAATAAGGATTGAGTTTTTTGAAAATTTGGGAAATATATAGTGAATGAAAGGTACTCCAGAAGTGTGTGTACCATGTTAGGGCCATAGTTTTATTCATATTTCCCTTATTTTGGTCCTATTACGAGTTCGGGGACTGTCTGTGTTAGCCTAGGGAATATACCCCTACCCATGGGCTTCTATCCCTTTACACAACTTGAATTAGGCAGGTGAACAAAATTAGTTACCCTAATATTGGTACACATACTTCTGGAGCGCCGAAAAAATAGAATATAGCACCAATGAATAAGTTGACACTTGGATGTTTATATCAAGAATACTGAGATGCACAGGGTGTCCATAAAGTCTCAATTTCATTATGGAGTCAGTTCTCAATAAATGTTGACCAGATTCGTTGTTCTTAAATCAGTAATTGTTCAATTATTTTAACTTCATTTAATACATCTGTGAGGGCTAAAACAATATATGGTATTGATGAGCTTTTTAAAAAAATTCCAGACTTCATGGACACCCTATATTTCAAAACACACTTTACTTCTGTGCAAATATTAAGAAGCGAAAATTTTGGAACTTAATATTGAATGAAAGTATTGTTATTCAAAAAAGCACTGAACACGCACAGGTACAACACTGTGGAGTTGATTAGGAAAATAAGGTGCTTCATACAATATATCGGTACCCAGTTATGGGATTCAGCTGGTTCTCACCGGTTCTATAGAACCGTAAATAGACACAAAATTTTATCAGTTCAGCGAACCGGTTAGCATTACAGAAAAAAAAACATTACTTTTTGTAACAGAACCGGCTGAAAAATATAGCTTTTGTGATGGAACCGGCTGACAAAAAAATTGAATCCCACCGCTGATTATACCCCAGGTGCCAATAAGCTTGGCAGTCCATGGAAAGTGGGGGAGTCATTCATTTTGCATTTACGGTTTCAAAATTAGAGGAAATTTCCATATGATTAATAACAGTTGCATTTAAAATAGAACTCTCGAAAATCCAACTTTTCAAAAATGGCCAACCAAATTAACAAGAGTTTGCCATATTTTTTGATGGCCCACAAATTTAAAAATATGTCTGCGAAGCTAAGTATAATGAAATCACAGAATCCAACCTGATGATATAATATGTGCACCATAGAATAAAAAATTGAAAATTGTGAAACAAATAAATTTCATGTACCAGTTAAAAAACATTGAGTAATATTCTGTTACCACTCCAACATTAATTTTATAACCAGTTGTTTTCTAACACAGTATGTCCCCCAACATTTTTTGTGGGGGTGTTTCCAAATTTTAGGCGTGATATATATTTTATCGGGGTGGGGGTTGGGGGGTGAACACTCCCCGTATAAAGAAAAACTGATCCAAATAAAAAAAAAGTTCCAATTAAAATGAGTGGCGATTGCAGAAAAGTACTCAACTGTATCGGTAGTTCAAAATATGAAAAGCAGTACCAGAAAAAACAAATAACTAATAAGTATTTAATTTTCACACTGAGAAACACTGCTACTGTACCTGTAAAGTTGTTGCCTATTTGTAATTAATTTGTTTAAAACATGGTTCGCTCACTCAAAAGTAGAGAAAAAAAGCAGACTCATCTCGGAGTCTGAGCAAAGTTATGTTTAGCCCCTGAAATGCTAAAAGCTGGAGTGAGAGCTAGCTAGCCTACTTATATTTTACAAATTTCAAGTAACACTGAATGGCGCTATATAATTATCCCAATCCGTATTTGACATGATAAAGACAAAATTTACAGCAGCTGAAAATTAAATAATTGCATTTATCAAAAAAATGTACAGAATAAAAGTTGAAAAAAAATTTGTCAGAATAAGAATCAAAAATTCAACATTTGATATGTTTGGCTGTATATAGGCTACATTGTAGCAATTAAATTGCAGTGATAAACTAAGAGAGGACTTTTCATAATATCTTAATGGAGAGGAGAGCCGACTGGATGGCTTAGTCATATTTCAAACCATGTCCTCTCGTCTAGCAGGACATCCAGTAATTTGTTCTAAAATTTCACCTTAACACATTGGTTCTCAAACTGGGGTCCGCGGTCCCTTAGGGTCCGCGAAGCGACTTTAGGGGGACCGCGAGACAACTTTAACCTCGGCACAGAAGCACTGTGATTTGAAGTAAAATTTTGATAGTGTTTCTCCAAAGCACGACACGCTCTACCGAAGACATTATTACGTATAACAAACGTTGGAGAACGTGTCAAGTACCGTAAATCAGAGCGTATTGTTTGTGGAAGGCGTGTGCGTCTGGTTGTAAATCTTCACGGGGTAATTTGAAAAATACCCATGCCATAAAAAATAAATTTAGATATAAAATTCTGCCGTGATAAGTTCTGAAGGAAAAAAAACCACAGTGGCACCGTTCTATCCCGATTTCGCTAAGATGGCGCTAAAAATGCTTATTCCATTTGCAACAACTTACGAATGTGAGACAGCTTTTTCTACGTTACTCGCTATTAAAACAAAATGTTGAAACAGAATGGACGTCAGACCCAATATGACAGTGGCATTATCCAAAACAAAATCCAAGTTGAAAGAACTATTGGAAGCCAAGCAGGCGTACCCATCTCATCGAACTGTTTTAATATCATTCAATAAATGAATGCTTGATATATCGCGTTGCTATTTGCTTTCATTCCTTTAGTGGACCGTGAGCAATCAGAAAAATTTGAAAGGGGACCATTAAGCATAATTTTTGAAAAAGTTTGAGAACCACTACCTTAACAGCTAGTAGGAACCTGTATTTGAGGCTGAATAAGTTAAAACTTTGAGGAGTTTCATATTTATCTCTGGAGAGAAAAGGGTGATAAGATTGGCTAATCAGGGAGCAAAACACATCCTCTCTATTTGATTTACTAGCTAGGGAGTGAATGAAAGAGCATATGAAATATTAATCAGCTAATTACGAAAATTGTTCTAGATTTGATATTACGAACACATTTTGAGTTGAAATTTTACAAAAATGATGTACCAGTCATGGCTTATATAGATAGGGAAATTTTGTTCATAAGTGATAGCCTTTTGCTTAATGGATTGGATATGGTGTTCTCTAGAAAGGTTCCACAAGAGTGATTTACGATGACATCATACTGTTGTAGTAGTGAATTTGAATTTATCCCAAACCAAAGCAATATATCCATAAATACGGGTGCCAAGTTGGGAAACAGTGCTTGAGGTAGATGTTTTTCTTGCATCTAGGGCTGTCCAAGCGAACCAAATATTGAAAAGCGAATCGAAAATTATTCGAAGAGTTTTTCAGTCAATTTGCGAATCACTAAAATTTGGTACATAATGCACCTCACTACCATCTTTTCACCGAGCAAGCAAAGACGTATTTCTATCGATTTTTTTGCTATAAAACGGTCTCGCCGGTGACATGTAATTATCCATTTCATGCATGATAATAAATGAAAAGTTATCGCTAACAAAGATTTAAAGATGACGTTTTTTGATAGAACACAAGGAGAAAAGGGCAATTTAATAATATCACCAACGGCGTCCTATAAATAGAATCGATTTGTAGCTGCTGAGTTAGTAATCATAGGAAAATGGTACAGGGCTGAGACACGTTTTGGAGGTCCAATATCCTTTTTTTAATAGAATTCTAATGACAATACTTTGTACTGTATTACTCATCTATTACTTTGACAAATAATTGCACTTTTGCATGTTGATAGCTGCTGTAAAAACATGGTCATCAAACTAGCTCTAGAATTCCCGAAATACAATTCTAAATTTTTTGGGCAACAGTTATTACTTATCGATCTCAAGTATGTTGATAGGTATTTGTCTGTTTGTCTGTTAGATGAACGCGATATCTCACGAAGGCGAGGTTGAATCTGCTCCAAATTTTGCATGTGCATTCATCATATCTCGGACCAGAAGCCTATTGATTTTGGATGAATTATGTCGTATAATTAGCGAGTTATTATTTAATTAGAGATGGGAGACGCGGTGTCACTATGGAGTCATGAATCGAAACTGCAGTTTCGATCGATAAGTTTTCGGTCTCCGACCGATATTCTTGTATCTATATTATTAGTTGTTTATCATTTTGCTGAAAATCACACGAAAATTCTTGAGTTAATAATACTAATGATAATAGGATTAAGCAAGAATAGCTACTACAAGACTTGCTGCCTTATTAAAACTGAATCCATTAAAACTGAGTAAATAACGTAATGGTGAGAGTCTGTGCAATTTCCAGCTTCTAAAACTTGATAGTTTTAGAATCCCTAATTTTTTGACCATTTCAAGGAGGCTTGTGATCTACTCTTATAACTCTGAAAACATAGTTATGCAAAAAATTAGCAATAATTTAGATGTAACTGCAAATACGTTATCACAATATCGAAGAGGAAGTTTTTATTGTGCAATAGAGACAAATTTGGGATTGCGCAATAATATTCGGTTCGATTCGGGAAAAATATTTGATTGGAATCAAAGAAAATATTCGGTTTTGGACAGCCCTACTTGCATCCACTCTTGATTTGATGGCGTTCCACAGTTTTGTAACTAAAAATTGTCACATGAACACTCTAAGGCAGGGGTCGGGAACCCATGGCTCGCGAGCCATACATGGCTCTTTTGGTGACGGCATATGGCTCCCAGAAAAATCTAATATTCTAAGACTAGGCTTACTATTGTTACGAGATTTCAAACTCTTTTATAGCCAAATTTGGCAGGAAATTCCCAATACGTTCGAGAATGCGCGCCCAGCACATGTCTATGTTATGTAAGATATTTACTAGACAGGCATTGTGACAAACAAGGGGATTCTGGAACATATATTGTGACATCACAAAGCGATATAGTTTTAAAAACACTACGGAGTGGCCTAAACGAAAAAGGGTGATGAGTATCGTAGATTTCAACTTGGGCTGCAAGTGAGCAACCGTTCAAGGCCCGCAGCGACTACATGCAGCATCAGAAATCACATTAAATGTATATTGACATTGTATGTGTTGACTTTCGAGTAAACATTTCAGGTCTGATTAATTGAAGAAATGTTATATGGCTCGCACGGAAATGCAATTGAGAATATGTATATTTTATGGGTCTCTTGACCAAAAAGGTTCCCGACCCCTGCTCTAAGGTGTAATATGTGACTCTGTGAGTAATTTACAATGACATAAGATGTTTGTTGATAGTAAATTTGTTCAGCAATCCGCCACCAGAAGCAAACTCGCCCGAGGAGGGTGTTTTTCCAACCCTTATGCGAGATGAGGATAACATACAACACCATTGCACATCAAATTTCATTTATCGTCTATTCGATGGACCAGCTGATAAATCTTCTCTTGACGTGTACGGGGGAGGCGGGGTGGAAATACGCTTGTTCGGATCCTCTTCACTTTGGGGAGAAGATGGGGGTGGGTGTAACAACGCAGGCATGATTGGTTCACTGTTATTACCCCCTGAAGGAGGGCCTGGGTACCCAGGTGGCACAAGGGATTCCCCTTGTATTAATATATATTGCCCATTGCCAAGTTCCACAAGTTGTGGTCGTCCAGAAGAATAAAAAACCTGTCCGTGATTGCGTTTTGGAATGCAACATATCGCAGCACAGCAGAAAGCAGCGTGAACAATATTAATAATAAAACCAGCTGACGCTATGATACTTAAAAACACATACACAGCTAAAAGTGTAGATACATTGGGGAACGCTGCTAGTATGGACATAATAAACATCACACACATAAATATACAGGACATAATACTCAGGGCCATGTTAATTCTGATGATACAAGCGGATGATTGACGGTTGACACGAACTCCAGCGATTCCAGAAAATATAAGAAATATTCCGCACCATAAACCTGGAAAAAAAAAGGCGTTTAGTATGAGGACCACAGAATACCATGAATGTATTTACAGCACATATCAATATACAGGGTGATCGCTAGAAAAGCAGAAAATTTGAAGGTCAGATGAGAATGCGTGCTTATTTATTTTCCCATACCTTTTTTTTCCTTATAGATTCTAGGTTGTTTTAGGTACTATTTGATTTCAATTTGACACCCACATCATTTCTGTTTTTCTAGCGACCACCCTGTATATGTATGTATATCCCCTCAGGAAGACTTTGCAAGACTGAGATGCCCATCATGTCCCCAATACCCACAACAAATACAATAGCAGTTTAATAAGACTGCTGCATTATAATTGGACAATACAAATAAAATAACAAAATACAAAAGCAAAATTCTGCCAAATTACACAAGCCAGTTTGGATTTCATGGACTTTTTCCACAACAATTTGGGCATGCAAACACAGATCCCGTCGTCTCATGAAACCGGCGACAATGCGTATTTTTGCATAGGTTCAAATAATTGGCGCAAACAGAACATGCTAAAATTAGAACTGTTAATCTGTTAGAACTTTTTATTGATGGCTTTTTCATTCCACCACCGTTCATACTCTCAGATATATTGGTGAGCAATCAAGAATTTTCTACGGCATTCTCGCATGCATTTTAGGGGAGCACAGCGTACTCAGGCCTGTACCTGGTACACAGGTGAAAGGTACAGTTATGTTATACATGGCAAGTTGTGATGTGTGTAGTGACAACTGACAACAATTGTCACTTATGGTTCTTGACGTCGCATTTACACATTTTTATTTGGAAGTAACCTGATGAAAGATTTTCTATTAAAAGAATTTTCTTAAACCAAGGCCGGGTTCAGTGAATAAGTAATAATTCTCCAGTTTTCTATGAATCTTATATTTTGGTTTGCATTTATTGTTAGTGTCATATCATAATTTCATTGCATACTTCACTGGTCACTAGTATAAATACCATTTATTGAACTGTAAAAGGGATGTCTGTCCCTTATGATATGTTCTGCCTGTTATTTACTCTAATAGTGAACTTTTATTAAGGTCTAAAAAACATGTATGATACAGAAAAATGTCGTTTATTGTTTCATTTCAAAATGAGAAGGGGGGTCCGACACTCTAAACACTCTGTATCAAGATCAGAAAACACAAAATCATAGAAGAGGGATATGCAATTAGTACTGCAGAAACCAAATTGATAACAAGCTAAATAAATACCCGAAGATGTTGATATCATGCTGTTCTTCCAATGTACTGAAGCAATAACGAGGCCGACAATACAAACACTGCAGGATGCAATCCCAAGTATAATCTCGATAAATCCAAACCAATATAACGTTCTTTTGTAACGTCTGCGCTCCACTTTTTGTCCTCGGGCGTGAGGGTTCATTGTCATCGTAACTCCTTGCATAGCCATTACTCGAGCATATGTATCCAAAATATGTGGTCTCGTGTGCATTTTAATCTAGATTCAAGTAATATTTTTACACCTATGTGCCATAGCTTTTACACCTGATAATGAATTATCATGCAACATGAGAACATGGACATATAAGAGTTTTCGTAACTTAGAGGTATAATATAGGATTTACATTATTTATCCCAGGAAAAGTAATGCAGGGTTACCAGCTCATGTCGGGTACCGGATTAGCTGGGTGGATTTTTGTCTTTCAGATACATGGACTTGATGGTGGAGGACCCAAGTAATCAGAGGTTTGTTGTCAAAAGCGTTATAAAGGGTGGCCCAAACGTAGGTATACAGTTATTTCATTTATTTTCTTTTACCTTCCAAGCAGCTAGAAAACTAATGTAAAATTCACACTAGATTTACTATCTAAAAAAATAGGCATTTTTTGTGGTAATTAACAAGTAACATAAAGTGAACTGCAAGTAGCTTCAAAGTGAATAAAACAGTTTAATAACTGTATACCTACTTCTGGGCCACCCAGAGTCATTTTGCAATTTGCTAAAAGTGGTCAATCTCTTGCTTGGAAACCCCCTCACTCTGTCAAAATCCGTTATCTTCCAAAAATGGCAAGAAATGTGCAAAGGTTAGCAATGAAAATTCTGAAAACTAATGGTGATAGAATACGTATACATAAGCGCAGTAAAAATATGCGAATATAAAATAGATTGTAGATTAATAATGAAAAAAAAATTGACAGAGGAATTTACTTAAATTTGACATGATTAAATCATATGATATAAAACAATCAAGCATGTACCATGAATAAAATACAATTTAAACCAGTGTCTCGTGCCCCATCTCAAAAATAACTAGCTAACAATAAGCTATAAATAACAGATAATACGGCGAAGGTATCACATTGAAAATACATGGATGGAACATAAATATCCAAAATAGGGCGGCAATCTAACAAATATATTTATTGGGTGCTCCCGAAGTATGCGAACCAAGATGGCGGACATCGAAACGTAACATGGGTAACAGGTTAGGGTTAGGCAATAATTTTTTTCCAATTTTCCTCATTTTAGTCCTATTATCAGTTCGAAGACTAGCCAAGAGCCTCCCGTAGTATTTATACCTAAAATTATGGCCTAACCTTAACCTAGTACACATATTACATTCCGATGTCCGCCATCTTGGTTCGCATACTTCGGGAGCCCCTTTTTATTTTTTTTAATTAGCTTCGCGGCTCTTCAAAAAATTGTCCATGACCGCCTTGTGGGGCGGGATCCACTGTTTGGGTACCGCCGATATCAACAGTACCACTCACTCAGTAAAACGGTGAATTGATAACTGCGCTGAACATTGTCAGTTGTCGGAATCAAATACCATGAAATGAAAGTAAGTAAATGAAATTACCTCCTTAAATATAAGGAATCATGCTCCTAGGAACTAATACAGGAAGGGGCAAGGTTCTTAAACCAGAGTCCAAAAATTTTTCCCACCTAGACTTGCGAGCCATGTAAGTGTGACGAAAAAAGTTACATTTTATGAACAATATTTAGTTACAAAGACAAAAACAATAGGCCGCGTGCCAAAACTGAATCTAATTGAAATCTTTGAAATCTCAACAAATTTCTTGAGCTAATTTTAACTAAAACATCAAAATTTGGTTTTAGATTGGTTTTGGCAGAATCAGGCGGGCCAGATAGAATTACTCAACGGGTCGGGTTTGGCCCGCGGGGCAAAGTTTGTCCATGTCTAATCTAGAAATATTGTGGAAATATTACAATGGAATTGTTGAAATAAAAAGTATAGATAAGCGATGTATTGAAAAAACGCCTCCGGAAGTATGTGTACCAATATGAAAGTAACTAAATTTGTTCGCCTACTTTACATAAAGTTGTATAAAGGGACTGAAACCAATGGGCAGGGGGATATTCACTTGGCTAACAAAGACAGTCCGCGAACTCATAATAGAACTAAAATAAGGAAAGTCGGAATAAAATTATGGCCTAACTTTAACCTGGTACACATACTGCGGGAGTACCAAAAAAACAGGAGTGGGGATAATTAAATGTGATATAGTTGCCGAAGTCCATCCATTTGGAAATCATTTAACTCATTTCTAGTGTAGAAACGACTTCGATTGACACAGCAGCATCCATGGGCTAACACTACATGGAATGCTGATAAAACCGTTATAAGAAAGCCAATAACAGCACAAAAAAGGTATAGAAGGTTCAAATCCTCTTGTCCTATAAATGCAACAATCAAAGCCATCACAACATAAGGAACACATAAAACTAAAGAAACTATTGCCAATAAAGCACTTATATTTTTTACCCTAACGCTTCGTTTTTGTTTCATAATATAAACTGCTACGCCAGATGAAAAAGCTATAATACTGCATACAATACCAATAGCGCCAAGAACAATGTCGAACACAGGTTTCGGTGGTTCAATACACTCCCTAATAGCAATAGTGTTGTAGCACAGCGTTGATTCCATAGGTCCATGTAGCAAATAGAACGCCAGTGAGAACAGAGGAATAGCAATAATGATTTCTGTGACCCCGATCCCCAAAGTTATTTTTATTTTTTTAACAGCTTGTTTCCGTTCCCTCCACATCTCTTCATCCATACCACATTGGAAAACTCTGTGCTCTCTCTCCGAAGATTCAAATCGCAGATTGCAACACATTTTGATCTCTTTTTGAACTCTTTTTTGAAGATAAATTATGAACTGTTAACGAAATATAGCTACATATAAATGATTATCCAAAGTTTTGCTGCTAACTAACACAGAAATATATTGTGTTAATAATGAGCAGCAAGACTCTTGAATCACTTAGGATAATTTTTTTCACTCTTGGCACAGCATCTTTGCATTATATCCATACGGATCCACGGGCATAAAATATAGAAGAAGGATAAGTAGTCAGTCCTGCAAAAACTCAATCGATAACACATTATAAATGATATACAGAATTTTTGCTCCACGGACATTCCATCCCTCAAACTTTCCAATCACTAGGTGGCATATGACTGTCTAAGTTATGACTTGGACTCACCTTGGGAGTCGTTTAAAAATAATATTAAATAAGTACAACACAGAAATTATGGTAAACAACCCTACATTACAGTAGGGCGCGGCGGTGTGGCTCATCGTTCTAAGTGTGGGGAATATGCTGCGGCACCTCTGATTACTCTAGGGTGGTTCAGGTAACCGCTGGTCGGTTACGGCTTCCTCCACCATCACAGTCCTTGCATCTTAGGACGAACAACTGGCTAACTAATCTCAAACCCGACATGGAATGGTAACCGGATGAGAGGCCGTGGTTTGCCATGTGGTTAACCTGTCTTATATCTTCCCTCTCCCACGGGATAAATATGTAAATCCTATCCTATCCTAAATCTTATTGGATTTATTCGTGGATATCTATTCACCACAGTAGTGACATATACCGACCGGTAATATGCTAGAGCGAATGCAAAACAAATCCCAACTCAAAACAGTTTTGTCGATCAGTAAGGTCCATGAGGAATAACATCCATGGGGCAAAAACTCCATGCAGACCATATAAATTAATGGTACTCCCGTAGTATGTGAACCAAGATGGCGGACACCTAAACGTAGTAGTATGTGTACCAGGTTAGGGTTGGGTCATAATTTTAGTCCAATTTCCCTTATTTCAATTCTATCACGAGTTCAGAGACTAGCCAAGTGACTCCCGTATTTGTACTTGAAATTATGGCCCAATAATAACAGACATAATGATTAAATACAGCAAATAATCCAAAAGTGCCTTCAGTCATTTGGATTCAATAGTCCTAAATCACTTGAGCATAACTAGCCAGAATATTTCCATCTTATTTGCAAAGCGCCAGTGCTGCTTTCGTAAGACCTAAAATTGATCCTATATTAGTACTAGAAACCTGCAGATGAACAAAAAACGAAAAACAAAAAATTAAAAAACACAAAATCCTGTATTTTTCAGCTAATAAGCTGACTAATAAGGGATAATTATTAGCACTAAATATGAGGGTTTTCCCATATTACACCCATTAATAAGCATAGGTATAAAATGTGTTACTTTTCTTCTCTGTTTGTCAGTTTTGGTATTTTCTGGCCGAAAGGTAATAACAGGCCGACCCCCGAAAAAGGGAAAATAAGCTGATCCTCCCAATCAGTGTTCCCTCTAAGGTGTGCGCGTTTGCGCGCGCGCACAAATTTCAGATGCCGCGCTCAGGCATAGATTTACTGCGCACCTGACGTATTTCGATGTAATGTAAAAATGTGCTCAGTTGGCAGGTTGAGAAAGTTTGTTGTTGGCCCACTTATTACCCGGTTAGAACGCCAAAAAATTCTCCATTGGTTTTTGCACAAATATTAGTCATTTCCAAAAAAGTGCGCACACACCAAAATTCCTGCGCACACATACTACAAAAAATTAGAGGGAACATTGCTCCCAATGAACTGATCAGAAAGAAGGCCAAAAAATTAGCCCCAGCAAATCAGCCTATTAGCTGGAAAATATGGTATAATAAGCATTATAGTTAAGGAGTTCAAGCAATATACAGGCTTATCTGGGAGTGAGAGGCTGAAGATATCATAATGGATTGCTCAGTAAGACTCAATGAGGTGATTTCATAATTTGAGAAAGTGTTTAAAGCAGTAGTTTATAAACAGTATGTGTACCCCGCCGGTACAGTCCACAAGGTCCATCACCATTGAAACCCAAATTCTAAAAAAATTTCATTTTTATTGCATTTTCATCATTTATTTCATTCGCCCCATTTAATATTAAAAAGTGGTGAGGAACCCTAACGAAACATTCCAGAGGGTCGAGAAAACTATGTACAATACATGTAAGCATATAAAAACAAATCTGAAACTGCCAAAATAAAATGATCTTTAATAAAGCCTAGCAAAATAATAACAGTGGCAAATCTAATGTTTTGAGTATATTTATTGCGGAACCCCTGGATTGAACTGGCAGAATCCTAGGGCAGGGCTACTCAACTATTTTCACCAAAGGTCTGTTAACAAAACTTTAAAATTACTGGGGTCCGGACAGAATAGAAAATTTATTTCATTAAACAAACGAAACTTCAAATGCAATGTTAAATTAAATACAAGAGCAATGAATTGCTCGCAAATAGGGACAAAAATGTCGAACATCGGTACCAGTACGACAAACAAACTGTATAGCTGTGTATTTAAATTGTAACAAAATCATCTGAAACTATGAAACGATGCTTATGCTGCCAAAATAAACAAGCAGTCCAAATTTTATGATCGAAAAGTCTGGATTCGGATCGCGGTCCACCAGTTGAATAAGCCCTGTCCAAGGGTACCGCTGAACCCCCAGTCGGAAACCAATGAACTAGACAAACACACAGGAATTTTGGAAAATTGCCAAAACATTTCAGTACAGTAATAAGTATCAGTTTTGGACGCTCTATAAATAACATATCAGTCCATCAGACAAGGTATCCCCAGAGAGTTGTTTCATTTCTGCTTAGGCCAGCTAACCTCCTACACTAGGCTATGCCTCACTGTATCAGTTTTCAACTTTAATATTGGTACTCTGCTCACTCTTTTTAGTTTTTGAATTTCTCGTTTAGAGTAACCCCGCAAGAAAATATATACACCATATTTTACTAAATGAAATATAACATAAATTGTGATAAAGACAACAAACAATAATTTCAATTTCCTAGAGTATCATTATTAAAAATATTTCATATGATGCTTATCCTTGCAGTTTAATCAGAACAAGGCTCTTTAAAAAGCAGCCAAGGATATCTAACAATATATACCGGTAATAAGGAGCTACTAGCTTTGAGACATTTTTGTAAGAATCCTTCAATATAAATAATTATTTAGATTCTAATCCAAAGCTAGGTACA